AAAGATTTAAGACAAACCAAAACTCATCCAAGCAAAACAGCTGTCAAAAATGAACTAAACATTCTCAATGACCGATTTTGTCAGCATAAGTAAGATATATGAGTACCAACATAACACAACAAAACTTTCCAAAATCGAATACACGATAATATGTAATAGTTTAGACTTAATCTGACAGGGAAACAAAGTAAGATAAATATATAAACACATTTTAAAGGAGGGTCAGATCTGAATACAACATAAGAAAAAATACTAAAACCAAAGTTGGAATTGCTAGAACTTGCAAAGCAATTAGGAAATGTATCACAGGCGTGTAAAGTAATGGAATATTCAAGGGATACATTTTACCGCTTCAAAGAACTGTATAAAACAGGAGGAGAAGCGGCTTTACACTAGATAAGCAAAAGCAAGTCATTGTATGCAAATATAGTGTCGGAGGATATAGAAAAAGCAGTAGTTGATATAGCAATAGAGTTTCCAGCATACGGACAAGAAAGAGCAGCAAACGAACTGAAAAAGAGAGGAATTCTCATTTCTGCAAGTAGAATAAGATCAATGTGGGAAAGAAAGGATCTTGAAAATTTTAAAAAGAGGTATTGGACGAATTTATTAGCAAACCTTTGTTGATACCTATTCCAGAGTTGCTTTAGCTAAGCTTTACATAGAAAGGACTGCTCTCACAGCTGCAGATATTCTTAATGATAGGGTAGTACCGTTTTTTGATGAACAGAATATATATAGCCCGCGAAAATTAAAAGTTCGCGATACTTTTTGAACAAAGTTCGTAAATCCAATTTGAGGCGTACTACTTCACTATGAATATACTTTGGGTCGAGTAAGCAGATTATAGTTTTAAGAAACAGAAACATATATAATAGTGATCTGAAACTGCTTTCTAAGATGTTGAAAACAGTTAGCTAACATTCCCAGCCACTAATATAATGAGAACAATCAGTTCGAACCTACTCTCCGGGAGTGTTTAATAAACTAAAATAAGCAGGGAAGTTTGAGGAAAATCTCGAAATATTATATCATACAATATGTATTTACCATCTCATTAAATGTATACTGTGTCGGGCCACATAACCGTAGATCCAATGAGAGACGGAATATTGGGTTATTTTATAAGAATTTACTCAATATAGTTGGATGTATCTTCTGCAGAGCAAATAAATAGTATAACTGGCTCACCAACCCTGGATCATCTAACCTACAGATGTCTATCACAAAGCAATACATATGTACATACATAAATGAGAACGCAAAATTCCGAAGATTGTAACTGAGATTAGTTGATGGTGATTGCTAGTCGCATAGCTGTAGTGGTAAGGTAGTATCGGATCGAATAATAAGATTTGAAGAACTTATAAAAAGTGTCTTCCATTACATTACAGATACATAACATTATAATCGGCACACCCATTTTTCTATAAGAAGATTTCAATTTGAGAGCGCTAAATATTGTAGGAAGTTATTTGATCTAATACCATGGTATCGACTTTTGACCATTCTTCGAATGACTTGTTTGATACTTTGCCCGAAGAACTTGATTTACTAATGAATATTGGTTAACTAGCATAAGTTCTCGTTTGACGCATGATAAAAATGGAAAATTACTGAGTTCAAGTCATTATCTGTGGATAAATGGGTCTTCAAGATTTCCTATATTCAGATTTACTTTTTAAAAATTATTGACTTCGGAACTATGTAAGTTTGCAATTGCTCCCAACATGGTTTCGATCATTATATATTATTATACTTGAGTCGACTCGGCAGAGATCACTGCACACATACATATGTACATACATGGCACATCGCATTAGGTTTGTATCTTAACTGCTAGAAGCTGCCACATAGCTATCAGGAAGATTAAGATTGCAAGTTAGGCTGACTTCGAAATCGTACTACTGCAAAGTATCGATATAGTAGTAATACAGTAACTTAAACATAGTTAAACCAAATAGTTTAGTTTTAAATAATTTCTTCCGTTTCATCAAAAAAACAAGCACAACATCACTAAAATATATAGATAATATAATATTCTTGCCACCATAAGTACATTATTTGCCATAATCTCTGAATTTAATGCAAATTTAGCATAAATTAATAAAATAACTAATAACAAGCTTTACCATCTAACACCGCCATCGTTGCATATGAAATTGTCAAAAAGCATCAACTTTATTTGTGTTGCGCGATTTTCTCTGTCATTGCTCGTCGACTGCCGTTTTAATATATTTCAGAACATGATGCAATGTCAAAAATATTTCCGATGCATTACAGAACATTATACTTTGTTCTTATACGAAGTCAGTCTTACTCTGACAAAGAGCGAAATACCGAAAAAGTAAAGAAACAGAAAAATAGCAAAAAAGTATCAAAATGTTGTTTTTCGCAAAACTTGAAAATTAATCAATAGATTTTTATGTTCACAATTTAAACCAATAAAACTAAACAAAATCAAAGCAAATGCGTTTCTGTTTCTTCATATGGCAGTAGCTCTTTTATGCTAGCAGAAATTTCATAAGCAGAGACTAGCAGTTCTCTTAGCTTTTTACGCTCTTAACTTGTGCTATCTTCTGCTAGTTTTTTGGGCTAAGAAATGCTTTTCCAGCAGAAATTTGATAGCTAGTGATAATTGGGAGTTAAGAAACAAACTTATTATAATACTTAACCAACAAAAAAGCCGGTTATAGAGTACATATGCACTGTACATTTGCATGCGCTCGTGAATAATGCACACTGAAATGTCAAAGCGTTGCGTTGACAAGCCTGCCATCTGACACATTACCCAGCTGACGGCAAACATCGAGGAGCGCAGTATTGGTGACGCGGCATGCATGAATAATAAAGTTGTCAACAATTTTGCGCTGCGGAAGTACATATGTACATACGTATGTAGTATGTAGGTTAGCGAGAAGTGTTGTTTGGTGTAATGGCATTTTTTGTACGAGTACGAGATGTAGAAGCTAGATATAAAATTGGGAAAGTGACATTAAAAATAATGTCAACGTTTTTCATGACGTTCTTTGATGAGCGACAACTCTTAAGTAGAGGATGGTGAATTAGCTTTAGCCCAATTTTTTGCAACTACGTAAGAGTGCATAACTTTGGAAGAACAATGCCTGAAACATTGAATTAGTTATGCGGAATAATCTGTAATATTATAAATATATATATATATATATATACATGGTCGTGATGTAAAAAATAGTGAAAACGGTGCAACTACAACGGTATTGATTTCTGTTAGTCGGGATGGCTTTATACTATATATAGACGTTTCGAATAATCAAGGTGTGTTAATGCAATTAAATAAATTTAGCCGAGTTTATTTCACCAGAATGGACACGAAATCAAGATCGACCAAGGGCTGCTAACTCAGTGATTAGTTCTGTGCAATTATTTGGGGAGTTTTGTTTATATCTACAATTACAAAAATATATAAAGAAAATTTGTAATCGTTTCAACGATCGACCATCGCTCCAAAGATGTTTAGTTCAACACTATACACACGTGTAAGTCGAGAGCTGAAGCGCTTTTTAGATACAAAAATCATACCGGTAACCGATGACTATTGGGGTCAAGATAAGGGATGTTATAAAAGGAGGAGAGTTGGATGGGGCACTTCTATTGGCTTCTAGTAAGCGTTTCGGAAAGTAGGAGGAAGAAGCGAACAATACACTCTGAAAGACCCGTCCACCTTTAGCGTGAGGTGCTCCAGGTGGCACCCTCGAAGATAGTAATCCACCCACTGCTTCGGCTGTGATAGGGGCACAGATTCTGGAGGCCCCAAACCATTTAACTCCTTTAAGGGTTGTTTGCAGCAATTGACCCAGAAGAAACACCTCAGGTCTTGGAGTTTTAGCAACACAAGACATACGAAGTTATTTTGGCGTAGTGTTGTTGGTGGACAGACCAAAACGCTTCTACTTCTAGACAAAAGGGATCTTAGTAATATACATCACAGGGCAGCTACCCTTAAGATCCCACATTCAGAAAATTGGAAAATTGAATTCGGCGGAATCGCGGAGGATGATGAGACGCTGAAACATTATCTTTCTGAATACCCAGTCTTCAGCGGGATGAAACGCGTTATATTCCACGCTCCAACTTGAGAGACATTAGGCAGCTGGGATTGAAAAAGATTCGACTTTTTACCAAGCTGAATAAGGCTTGGTTACCACCCGCTAGCACAATGGGCCTAATAATGGCTTAAGTACGTCGCCTGTGGTCTGGCGCCCCCGCGCCTCCCTTTTCAATCAACTTAATAAGTTATAATAATCAGGGGTGTTGTGGAATCCAAGACATATTTGCTTAGCTGTCAGAATTGCAAACCAATTCTGATTTTCAATGGTGTCACAGAATCTGATTGGATTTGCGTTTTTTCGAACATATGAAAAACCAATATTCGAATCAGCTGTTTACTAATGTGACAAAATTTGCAAATGAACAAATTAGGAAGCGTTTTATAAATTTCAAATGCCTAAAAGGTCACAGTAATCCACTTGATGCACCATGGGAGTCGCATGTGAAATTTGGCTTGCATTTACTTGTATGTTTGTATACATGCTTACTTTACATATTTATATCACATTATCGACTGAATATAGACGCATTTGGGTGTTAAATTACGTTTGTGACGTTTTGTAAATTCTCTTAAAATATCTTGATTTTTCCATAAACTCGATAATTATGACATTTTTTGTTTTATTCTTATATTTTCCCCTATAAAAATAACGATAAATTAAATCATAACAATAATATAAATTATTTTCTTAACTAACATTTCAAATCTGTCAGCAAAAATCCTCTTGCTTTCTTTCTGATAACAAAACCGATACAATTTCTGTTTCAAACGTCAAACCAATAATATCTGAATTCATGACACCTACTACATTTTTTTATTGGTTTCAATTCTGATTCCGACAACTATCAGATTCCACTACACCCCTGAATATACCCACAAAGAACTGTATCAAAAATAAAAATTATATTTTCTCGAAAACACTTGTTTTCAAATCGTGATCGTTTCTATTAAATCGTCAATTCAAATCGTTTCTATGTTTACAAATAAATAAATCAATTTTATTATACTTACGTGTGCACAGAACAATTTGGAGTGCTTCATGTGAAAACAGCAACAACACAGTGCTCATTGGGGATCATAGCATTCCGACACACCAGAAACATTTAGGCCTGAAAATATTTCGACTAAAACAGAGATATACATATGAATGTACACGAAGGTATCCTGCTTGTTCACGTGGTTGAAGGCACAAAAAATAACTGTAAAATTAAGTATCTTCTAATGCAGTTTTTATGATATTCGTTTTGATTGTAATTAAACGCACGCAACGGGGATAGACCGACCGAAAATTCACCCGTTCGCCTGCGCCATCTGAGGCATGCGACTAGCGCTGAGACGCGACTTTCAGCACGCAATGCAAGTGGGTCATATACGAGTACTCGTCGAAAAGACTGTGGGCACCAAATAAGTGTATGTGATATACTGCTAGAAAAGTGAATGTGTTCGAAAGCTCAGCGAGAAGTTGTTTTGTAAACAATTTTATTGCCTCTGAATTTATGGATTTATCATGAGGTTGGTGGTAGGAGGTGGTGGGACGAATGGAAAATACAGTGATACAAATACAATGAAGAGCATAATATTGTGGAGTTGTTTACAACAATTTACATAATAGCTTTTTGATACAAAAACAAATAAAGAATTGAAGCATTATTTCAATTACTTCAATTCTCCAAAGTGCGTTGGTATATACAGTAAAAGTGTTACAGGTATTTTTTTTCAATCACGCATAGTTTTCTTGATTTTATTGTATACTATGCCGAAAAGTAAAAATACTTAGAACAAATCCCAAATAAGTTTCTTATCGACGAAGTAGTCAACCGTTGATGGTCCAATAAAAACTAACATTAACCAAAGAGGACTATTCAGAGTCGTGGAAAATTAAGGCATTATCTACCTTAAAATCCTACATAAGGTATAGGCGTCAATAAATGTTACTCTTTTAACTGCTATCACACGTCAACTTGAATCAATTTATAGCCCTCGGATCGCATTCGCCAGAATTTTGAGCATCTTGTGACTTTAGCCAAATTTTCATTATATGATTATATTATTTATCTATATAGTTCAGATACTCAGTAAATTTGTTAAATGGGTTGAGAAAAGTACTTAGGAGCGTCTAATCTAGTTTACATTAATTTTGAAACTCCATTATGCCTTTGTAATTAAATTAAATGAGAAATTATTCAGCCCTTCAAGTGTAATTAAGTAAAATTGAGTACACTTCATAATATACAAAATATTCGATACAAGAACATGATTTTGATTGGTTAGTTTGTATGGCAGCTATATACTATAGTTATCCGATCTGAAAAATTTGTTTGGAATTTGTACCGTTGTCATGGGCACCAACCCATGCCAATTTCTTGAAGACATCTTGTCAAATAAAAATGTTTTCTTACAAGGACTGAAGCTACATGCTACGGCTATAGTCCGATTTAAACAATTTTCTCGGAAATCGTATGGTTGCCTTAAGCAATAATCCTTGCTAAATTTCGTGGATATATCTCGTCAAATAAAAAGTTTTCCATGCATACTTACCAAACTACCTGTTCAGGGTATAAAGCTACAAAAGCTTAATTTGATATAGAGGATCACCGTGAGGTAGGGCGTCTGTGGTTTAAAATATGTATATATCTCACAAACTACATTGAACTTACTGAAGAAATTTCCCTCTATTACTTCTTTATACAGTGTAATAATGGTTGAAACGGTTAAGTTCAACTATTCATATAACGGTTATGTCCAAAACTACTTAAAATTTGGGCAATGACCGTCCACTTTCAGAAGAAATCCCATATCTCCGCAACTAATCTAACAAAATGTGCGAAATCGGATCACAACCACTCCTACTCATCAAATAACATAATATCAAATTCTTTCAGATTTATCCATCCAATATATAAATGAGGCATCAACTAAGATATTTGAATAAATCTTTGAGCAAATATTGCTTTCAAGGTGTGTCACATCTTTGCTTAAAGTAATCGAAATCGAACTATAACTATAACAGAACTAAATATGAGGGCTCTAGTGCCTATATCTGGGTTTTTATCGAAAATATCGATTAATCTGTGAGATATCTTAAGGCATCTCAGAGGTCATCCTTTCCTGATAATAATGTGCTCTTTTAAAAAAATCGAGTCAATAACCCCATATTCTTACCTATTTAACGTTTTTCATTATTCTGGTTGGCTTTATTATTATTTATAATTATTTTGATACTATTAACCCTACCCCAAACAAATTGCGGAAGGTAGACGTGAATTTTCGACTTTATATAGTTTTCACTGATTTCATAATAAATCTAAGTGTTATTGAAACAATAAAATTTGATGTAATTTAAATGTTCCGTTAATTATATTAGGGTAATTCTGCTTAATTTTAAAGAAGGCGCTTCTTTATTAACTTTATCATCTCACACATTCACGAATTTGAAAAAGATAATATATACATAGAACATATGTATGGTAAATTTCTTTCGAACTTAATCCGAATTCACTAAAACTTTACCTTGAGTTACTTCCAACCTATCAGCAAAAAGACTGTTATATGTGTGGTTGACATCGAAAACGTCAATTGTAATATATAAGAACAAAGTGTAATGTTCTGCAACGCATCCTAAATATTTTTGACATATCATCATATTATATTTTGAAACATATTAAACTGGTAGTCGATAAGCAGTGACAGAGTGAAATCGCGCAACACAAATAAAGTTGAAGCTTTTTGATATATGTATTCATCATATGGGGGAGTGAGACTTTAAAGCTTGTTGTTTTATTAATTTATACTAAATTTGCAATATACAGAGATTATGGCAAATAATGTACTTATGATGGCAAGAATATTATATTGTATATTTGCCTATATATTGTATATTAATTTGTGTTGGAAAATATTTTTTATGAAACGGAAGAAATTTTCTATAATTAAACTACATATTTGGTTATAACTTTAACGCTCGCAAAAACAGCTTATTGGGAAAGTAAGCTTCAGCAGTAAATGTTTTTGCAACGTCAAATTTATACCACGCATCTTTTTGCAATATTATTTGACGTTGCATACCGACGATATATAAATACTGTAATCATACTGTATCGATACTTTGCAGTATGATCTTTGTTTCCACTTAACCGTGCGGTTCAAGGTTAGCTTTATTTATAAGTTTCAATAGTAACTCCAGTAATTAATTTATGTTTCTTTTATGCGTGTATGTGTATATGTAGGTTCGTAAAAATCTAATACGGTTTACTGACATTCAAATTTCTCGGCACTGACCTTGGGCGAATCGTTTTATAAATTCGATGATGCACAGCCCAATAGCACGAGCAGAGGCACAACAACTGGTTGAATGGCCGAACGGTCAATGCCGTTTTCTGCCCACTACAAGCGCTCTCATCTTCTCAGGTGGCTAGCGTTTCTACTAGACCGCATCCCCGGTATACGCAATCACTTTTGATTATTACGAAACACACGAAAGATTGATGCCAATGACTTTCAGTGTGCCACAGCGCACGAACGGGCGACAATAAACGGCTGCAAAATTCAAAATGGGAGAGAAGTCTGTGAGAGAATAAAAATTTGTTCAAATGCTCCTGACAATTAGGTACGTAGGCCGTAGCTTTTTATTCTTTTTAACGAATATATGTGTATTATATTTTAGCATTGTGGGAATATATACAAAATTTTAACTGAAAAACTCGGAGCGAATGAGTAAATAATTGTTACGATAAGCGTGCTCGGACGGAAAGTATCCAAATATTTAAAAAACGATTACGCATGGAATACTAGTACCTATGTACATATCTATGTATATACAAAAGTATGGTCTTAAAAATATACGAAGCTTTAAAAAACTGGTGACAAAATAATAAATTTGTATGTCATGGCTTTTTGAGGTCAGCATATACATATGTCAATCTAGGTATACATATTTGTAAGTAATCGTACAAGCGGTTAGAGTAAAAAAATTAATCACAACAAAAAAGCGAAAGCTGCTAAGCAGTGGCAAATTTTAGTTAAAGATACAGAATGCCGAAAGCTATACGATGTCAAAACAAAGCAAAGTGCCATCTAATAGCACAATGGGGCTTTCAGGTTTCCCCCCTCTAGAAAAAGAATGAATAAATTTTAAGTAAATATTTCTAGTTCAGATACCAAGCGGTGACGGTGACAGCAGCGATGTCCATTGCCCAGTCAGCCCACGCGAGGAGGATACAGATAAGAGGATTTTCGGCGACCCATGCTTAATAATAAATAAATTTTAAGTGTAACAACTTTTATTAAAACATTAAAAAAAATGTTATCCAATAGATAAAGTGTTTTATAAAAATAATTTTATATAAATTAAAGCAAAGCTAATTGCATATAAATTTAAATAAGTTTTACATATACACAATGTCATCCGAAACTGTTATGCGATGTATAAAATGAAAACATCGATTTTTGGGAAATATCGACTACTGCGTTCGAAATTTAACGATGTATTACATTAAATCAATAATCAAGAACAATTTCGGATTTTATTTAATTTAAATTTTCTTTTTCAGTTAATATATGTATATACATACCAGGGATGCAAATAATAATAAAATAAAAAATATAGTCGCATAAACCGGTTTGAGAAAAATAAAAAAGGATTATAAAATTAAAGTCAAGTTAAAAATAAATCTTTAATTTAAATTTTAATTTTTAATCCCAAAATCGTACAAGAATTTTGAATTAAAAACTTCGCAACCCTGATATATAGGCTCCAATACATAAATAAGACGGTTTTTTTTCAATGCAAATTGAAATTGCAGATTTTCTTGTACTTTTACTATATATAATAGATTTTTCTAAATTCTACATACTTCCTCCAAATACATTTCAGTACTCACGTACTTATGTCTCCGTGGAATTATCGCAAGGTTCGCTTAGCTTACTCATTTATAAAATAATTTAGCACATATGTACATATTAAACCTATATTGCCCCACTGTAAAATCAAAAGTGAAGACCAAATATTAAAAGTGAAAAGTCTGAAATGAAAATAAAGACAAAAATATTCAAAAAACGAACTACCGAGGACTGGGCAGATGAGGGAAAGTGACAAGAAACTTAATGCAAATAAATGTAAATGGTACTTAAATGTAATTAATTCAAAATATAACATTATATGTCTCGTTAGTTATTACAAAATAATTTGTATAAAACTCGAGCAAAATATAAATTTATGGTAACGGTTTATTTGTACTGACAGTGGCAAAAGAAATTTTTGACGTACTCCAATTGTGAAAGTGAAGATAAAACATCTCGATGCCTTCTTTTAGCCAACCGTAGTTTCGCTAGAGCAAGAAACATCTGTTTGTCGGGAAACTGTGTAAATTGGATAGTAAGGGCCTCATCAAATTTGTTATAGGCTAAAAACTTTTCATCAATTCATGATGAGCCTTTGGTTAATACCTTGAAGTTTTGTCATCGTGGAGAATCGGTGTTTCAAATGTCCAGGCTGAACAAGATCGGGGATCTCGAAATCTAACTTTAAATAACCTAATGACAATTGGTTATTTTGCAGTTAATATTATATCAAATTAAATAGGTTGGTCCAAATCAACTTAAAACTGTTGGTATTCACGACGGCAATTTTTTTTCTTTTTATGAAGTTTTTATATCAGAAATTAAATCGCAACAGAGTTAATTTCTTTTTTAATGTCGTCTGTCTCAAATTTTTTGTTGTTTTTTGTCTAAACTATCAGAATAGTACTAAACATTCTAAGGAGAGTTTAGTCTGGCGAATAGTAGACCTGGAGCATGTTCGTAGAAGTATGTATATCTATATTCCAAGCTTCAACCAAATTGGATATACAATCTCACAATTGAAAGCGTGGCTATACGGTCTGCTATTAGATTATTTTTTATTATTATTGTTATTGTTGTAATGGTATCTATACTTTTATTGTGTAAGATAGGCTCTCGATAAATTAACTGTTTCGACGAGGTCGCGCTATGGATGAAGAAACATTTTGCATGCATAATATATGAACGGGTTTTTGGGGCCAAGCCTGAATAAATAGGAGTTTAATCTACTGCACAATCTATTATATAATTGCGCAGACTAGTAACCTTTTCTCTCCTCAGCCTTTCTTTTCTTGACACTACACATTTCTACTCGAATTATTTGCGTATTATTCCTTAATGTACACGTGTGTGCAAAATATGAGAAATTTTCGGTTTTATTTTGACTGCATTTAAACACGTGGAGTCGATGAGCGATGCGGCAGCAATGCACCGGTATCTAGTATGAGAATGTGAATGCAAACATTGTTAAGAGTCTTCAACTTTACTGTGAACTCTGCAACGTCCGATTACATAACTACACTCCCGTTGCCTCGGTCGCATTGTTAATCCATTGAACTCTGCGTCTACGCATTGGCCGACTGCGGCCGATGTGCGCCAGGTTATCGACATCACACAATGCGTCCATGAACCTGGCCTTACCCAACTGTAATACCTACACAACAACAATACATTGTATACATATGTATGTATATGTATGTTCATATATACGAGTATGTTTGTCACATTTGCTGCATCCACACCAAATTTTCCTCGCTCACCCACATATACAGAGGCGAAATTATGTCTGTTTGCATGGATTTGCAGTCTGCTCCCCGCTGTACTCCTTTGCAGCTACTTTAACATATTTCAAATAAAAGTAACAAGAATTGTCTGCACGACAGTGCCACATACAACAACAATGAAAATTCTATCCTATGCCGAAGTCTAGACGAAAATTTGTTTGTGCGGATTGTTTTTGGTTTTTTTGTTTTGCTATTTTTCGTTTGGTTGTTCGGTCGATTGCAACAGACTCGCACAGTTCAAAGACACGCGAGTCCTGCCGCCCAATGCATCCTTACCAAAAAATTACACCGCCAACGAAGTGCTCGCCTTCACTCACTTACTCAGCACAACAGTGAGGTCTCAAGAAACAAATCAACGAGCGAAATCGGCAAATCTAAGCAACGTCGGCACGTTGGCCCGTCGGTGGCGATACTTTCACCCCTCGTTTCTTGCAGCCAGGTCAGCAGTCAATGCTATTTTCGCTGGCTGGCTCTGGCAGCCGCCTCTGCCATTGCGGCACTGTCGTCAATTTGCTAAAGTCAAAGTTCTATAAATTTGTCTGCTGTTTGCTTACGTTGTGTTGGAAATTATTTGAGGAAGGCGCAAGTGTCCTGTGAGTTGCGAGACTAACAATTTAACGATTTAAAATTGATAACCGAAAAGATTACGAGGCATAATAGCTGAATGTGTCTAATGACTGGAGCACAGCGAGTAGATAAAAATTTGCTAGGATTTATGATTTGTTTGTGTTAAGTAATGAATTTATACTATTGTAGGTTATGTGTGGCATAACTCAGGTTATATAACAGACAATTTTAAATTAAAATTGGTCAGGAGGCACTAGCTTCGCAATTAGCGATATACTTTATGTACAGAGTATAGCCACTTATTCAATGGATCTCAATTTCTGTTGCGGGGTTTTTAAGAACTTCAGAATATTAAAATTTTTGGATTTATTGAAATAAAAAGAAATAAGACTCCTTTTTCTGGTATATCACTATAGTTAAATCAGCTTGGTTCCTTTAAGGCTGTCTCATTATTTGTCAGGAAGTACATTGCTGACTATTTATATATATATGACCATGGCCAAAATTATATGTTCCGAAGATTGCGAACGAGTAATACCTGAAAGATATGTGAATATAGCTGTGTTTTCTGAAATTGTTTCCAGAGTCAGTCACAAAAATTTTAAACTTTAGGAGAGTCATTTAACTGATTTCTTGACTGATAAATGTCACAAAAAATACCTGGGCTTTTAATTCTTTTAAACGGGGTGGTTTTATAAGAAACTAAATTTCTTCTAAAACATATGTAAGTTTTTTACTTAATATAAAGTTAAATATAAACACATAATATATATCTACTGCTCGCTATTAGGTTTAAAGTTTATCTTAACCACTTGTAGAAATGAAAAATCATATATGATACATCACTTGTTCTACTACCTATCTAACCTCATGTGCTTCTTATTCTTCTCTCCCGTCTTTCTGTGCTTATTCCGCAGTTGGCGCTTGCTACTTGAGTTCCACATTTACAGTAAATTTTCTACATGCACATAACTATACTGTACATACATTAGGGTGGCTATGGTCATTTATTTTTCAAATTTTAAAATACTTAAATTTTATTTCGACAGTGTGTCAGCTAATGTATAAATGCTTAATAAACCAGTTTTTTCAATAACTTTTCTTCGTTTTAAAGAACGCAATTTAACCCAGCTGAAAAAGAACGCTTCTAAAGCACAATTAGTTGGCAACTCTCCGGGTTATTGAAATCCTCTCGGGAGACTGAAAAGTTTTTATCGTTTTAAAGAAAGCGCATAAATTCCATTATTATTATCATAGTTGCAATCGAGAGCACAACATGGATGTAACAATTTTCCAGCTTTTCGAACCCATTTTTGTAGTAAGACTTACTTTCAAAATAAGGCTCAGTCCCAGCAGTTACTTCTTCATTGAACTAAATTTCTTTTCAACGCGAATTCTCTTGAGTTCTGAAAATAGGAAGAAGTCATTGTGAGTTAAAGTAGATGCGTAAGCCATCCAATTTCCAAATCATGCACTTTTGTGATCATTTTATTCATTTTGTGTTATATTATTTTGCCATGATAAAACTGTTTTTCTTATTCTTCAAATGGTGTTGTTTTTCTGCGATTTCGTCCCTCAATCGTTCCCATAATATGCAATATAAAAAAGTCGATAAGTACTATTCCATGCCCATTAAAAAATATAGACGAGATAACTTTCCCAGATAACCATTGGGGTTTCCAAAGCTTTTGATTCGATTCAACGTGGACAAATCCGGATTTTTAAAATTACCGGTTTATCAGCATTGAGCAGCTCCAAACACTACGATAATGCGCGTTGGCCACTTTGCATGGAATTTTCATATATCCAAATATGTATTTGTAAACGATTCACAATGGACAAGGAGTGTACCCTTAATACCTTTAGATTAGCAGCTTTTTCCATCTGCTTCATTTCATGGTCATATGAAATAATTTTTTGTCCGTGATAGTCTCTTTTGGATGTCCATGGGTTCATGTCTGCAGCCTTTAAATAATAATAATAATAAACCCAACGATTACCCTCCTCCCGCCCAACCGACGCGAGGGGCGCAATCCGCATACGTGCGGAATTAGCCGAGTCAGAAAAGGCAAGAGAGTTTTTTAAGTGTTGAGATCTAAAACTGCTCAGCTACAGAAAAAAAATTTCAACAGCTAAGATCTAAAGTTACAATATAATAAATTGTTACATTTTCATTTATTAAGAGAAAACAATAAAGTCTTTTTAATTTTCAAAAGCGAGTCAGATAAGTCAAATGTGGTGGAATGAGAATTAAAATCATGATATATACGGCGAAATGGCTCGTTTAGTTCAAAATTTGATTTACAGGATTTTAACAGTGAATG